TCCAGTGCTAATGTGCGAGCTTATGTTGGTGAACAGGTAGCACTGAAATGCTCTTTCAAATCCAGTTCTCCCATTTCTGAGAGCCTGACGGTAGACTGGACGTACCGGCCCATCACTGGTGGTCAGATGGAGACAGTAAGTGGAACAGGCACTTTTTCTAGCGGAGACTGACCAGGCCTCCGTGTGTGCTGAGAATCTGAAAATACTTGTTCTGTTTGCTGTGCTGCTTCACCACTTTGGGGTTTGGGACTCTCATTGTCACCTTCTTTCCCATGTGAAATTGCTTCAGTGTTCTTTGGGTGAAAAATATTCTACCTAGATGGGTAATAGCATAATGATGAGAAAGGAGGTAAATCCTGGGTGTTGACACAAAGGCTGTGTTGTACACTGTAGCTATGGATAGAATGACTGTAAAGCATTTGATTGATGGCTTTCTTGAAGGCAGCTGTACTATTGCAGTTCTGTCATGCAGTCTATGGCTGATATTTCTTGGAGAGGCAAGACCTTGTGAGTGATGACAGTCTGGAGACAGTGATGATGAGAGCCTCTAAAGTTTGTGGGCTTCTACTTGCTGTTTTGTTAGCAACTTTTTGAAATTTAAGTCTGAAAGCTCACTGAAAATCTCTTATTCAAGGTGGAAACAGAAAATGTACATCTTTACAGATTATCAGTCCTCCTGCTGCCTGAAGAGTTTGAACTCTTAGGAGTATCCTTCTATCTGGAACAGAAGGGTGCTTCTTGCATGAAGTGATGTCTGCTAAGCCTCTACTCGTAAGACAGCAAGAGGGCAAAAGTGTAAAAAACAAACCCTCAAGAACTGCAATGTTCTGTCTTGCATGAGGCAAGAAGTCTGCTCTGCTTCTTGACTGAAGATCTGCAGAAGAGAAGAAGTTGGTTAGAAGTTCATGATGGTGACAGAGAGCTGAGGCTGGTAGATAAAAGCATTGGAGACCTAATGAAATGGGACTGACTCAGGATTATCAAATGGGAACTTGACAAGGTCTCCTGTATACGAACTGTTCTTTCTGACTTCTTAATGTGTATTCCTTTATGTTTCCAACCCAAAAAGTTGTTTACTTTGCTTTCTTAGTCAAGTGTTTTATTGTCTTTGCCTCCTTTTAGATTTTTCATTATCAGTCTGTTCCATACCCAACAACAGTGGGAAAGTTCAAAGACAGGATATCCTGGGTTGGGAATGTTGCCAAGGGTGATGCTTCCATTGCTATCGAAAGCCCAGCAATGAGTGACAATGGGACGTTCATCTGCAGCGTGAAGAATCCTCCAGACGTGTACCATAACATTCCCCAAACGATGCTGATAGTTACGGAGAGGGGTAAGCCTCCATGTCAGTGGCATGTCCTCATCCATGTGCTGCAGCTGCATTGTGGCTTTGTCAGGCTCTTGGAAGTCTGAGCATCACACATGAAACGGGCTCACTGGTGTTCCACATGAGAATTTCAGCAAGAGTTACCTCACCCCATCTTTCTGAGCTACAGACATTGACAACTATTGAATTTATTGGGTCAGGAAGGGACAGAGGAAGCTGTGGTGGTAAAAGAAATCAAAAGTGTTCATTTGTTCAGGAGTTCTGCCCTCTGCATATTGCAGCAGTAGAACAAGTTAAATACTGGTCTAAAAATAAGAGTCGCACCACAAGTGCTGATTCTTAATATTACTTAATTTCCTCATCTGCCTTGCATGTGAGATCTGCCCCAATTTTGCGGTTTAGACATAGTGATAGAACTGTGTCGTGACCTGCCTTCCTTTGTAGTTTCTGCAAATAAAGCACCTTATTGTGCTGGATGCGTGACAGGAGTCCTAGAGATTCAGTGATGAGCTGCTTCAGATCTGTCAGCTCTGTGCTTTGTACTAAAAGACTAGCAGCCTGTGTCATGGATGAGCATTTGCCAGAGACTTAAAGCTATATTTGACTAGTGGTACAGCTGGGCTGCTCTTTGTCTTTCCTGCAGGCTTCTCCTTCCAGCTAACTTCAGCGGTGCTGCTGTCCATTTTAGTGTTTCTGCCTTCCATCATTGTGGTAGTTCTGCTGCTGGTAAGGCTGGGAAGAAAATTTGCAGTGCAAAAGGAGAAAAAAAAATCTGGCTGTAAGAAATCTTCCATCGAAGTGTCTGATGAGTAAGTTCTCCTGCATCCCAAAGCCTGTATTTCCACTTCAGCTTGTTGACACTGGCCAAAGGATGGTTTCTCCACTGTCCTTTGTTCTATAAGCTCTCAGCGTCTGCAGGTCAGTCACTGAAACCTACTTCTCCACGAGCATGATTTAGTGAGCCTTCAGAAAGCTCTGGAAAATCCCCACCTTTGAGCATAAACTAAGTGCTGTACATCCCCTTTTTCTGTCATTCGTGCGAGGCCATGAAACTGAAGCAGTTTTGGGTTAGACAGTCTTTCACTTCTGTAACTGGACCAATTTCAGCCTAAATCAGCAAGATACATTGCTTATGTCAGCTTTTTTGGTGTGAAATACCCATAACAACAAACCAAACTGAATGATGCTAACTGGTTCCCCTCTGATGGCCTGAGCAGAGATGCCAGGTACTGAATGAGCCATGGATACTGAATTCTCTTCTGAAGTGGAGAGGGTTCTGTTCTGGAAAGGTTCCGTAGTGAGAACAATCAGGTACTGTGGCTACTGCTGGAGCCATGCCTGTTTTGCAGCGAATTCAGTACTACCATTTCTCGCAGAATAGGCTTTTTAATCCAATGTTCTGATCAGTGTTGCGAGATTTGCCAAACAGCAGCTTTTGTATTCTTCATTGCACCTCAGTGATACATCTGCCTTCAGAATAAGGGACCTGACATTCTTTTTAGTTTTGCTGTGCAGAGTTAAAGTGTGGTAGAATTGGAATTCATGGCCCACAGGAGATCTTAGTATATGTGTTGGGGGAGAAGTCCAACCTAATCCTGTGCTTTTTCTGCAGGCCTGAACATACAGGGGCAGGCAGCTGCTTGGGGAAACTCAGAGACTGGTGTCTGAACTGTGTGGTAAGTGAAACCTGGGGTTTTCATAACTGGTTTTTATCAACTTTGGTGCTCAGAGGAGGTGCTGAGAGCAGCAGACAGAGCTTGTCATAACACCTCTGGATGTCAAAGAAGTGTCCCCAAATGGCTAGGCTCAGAGGCTGCTCACACTGTGTTACTGGCAAGGGAAGTTGTGTTGAGATCCACCAAGCTGATTTTTCACTTGTCTCTATTGAAATCAAAGCTGATATTTTCAGATGAAAAATCGGAATTTGAAGTGCTAGCTACTGTGCAAAACCAGTTTGGGTTTGACAGTGCTAAGTTGAGGAGTGGAGGCACAGATCTCTTAATCCACAGTCTTTCTTGTAAAGATGGTAGTGTGTAGCCTTGCCTCTTTTGGAGGTCTTCCTCCTTACACTGGTTTTGTCACAAGGGGATCGTGCAAGCTCTTGTGATCTGTTAATTTCTGGCTTTTTGTTTGTTTCATTTTGTGAAGTGGTGGTTGTCTTCTGCTTGTCTGCTTGCTACCATATCAGCAAGCTTCTGGCAGTCAGATGTGTTGTGCTGAAACTACTGAATGTGTTTGTCACCTGCTGTACTTGCTTTGTAAAATGGGCCTCTTAAGTTCTGTGTGCTGGTATTAGCAGCCACAGCCATAAATGTGGCACATTCCAGAGTAAGCTCACTAATATGCCTAATTTGTGAGCGTTCTTGTTTTTTCCTGAAGTCCTTCAGAGCAAGCTTACCTCGGACACACGTTTACATCTTTTATACATGGTCAGGAAGTATGTGAAAGAGGATTCAAATGTGTTGCTTGGTTCACTGTTAAAATGCCAGTGATTTCAAGTGTATTAAATGCATGAGCCTTCAGACAAGCGTGTACTGATGGTTTCTATGCTTCGTTAGATACAGAATGAAAAATGAGCAGTTAGGCAAGTTACCTGTGAAATATTTGCAGTTCTGCATAAGACACAACAGTTACAATGCAGCAGTGTTGGGAGCAAAAGTTTTGAGAGGTGCAGAAAGCAGAAAATGCTTTATGCAAAATGAGAGCTGCTATGGGAGATAGAAAGGCTGCTGAAAGTGCAATGCTGGGCAGCAGGGAGGCACCACTGCTTTACTGCACGGGAGAGGGGGAAGGATGGGAGCCCCAGTTTGGTGAGACACATGCTCAGGCAGTTGGAGGTTTTATAGATTGAAAAATGTCTTCTTATCCTTTGCAAGAAGGCAAATTTGAATGTTATAATCCTGTTGCTTTCATATTGAGTGTTTTGTTATCTGTTTGATGCTTTGCTCTGGTATCAAAATACTTGGCTTACCAAGAACATCCTGTCTCGCTCCCTTTAATGATGTAACACTTGAGTTTTCTGTACTGTACCTTTTCATGCTTTATGTGTTGCCAAATAATTAAAATTGCAAAGCCAGTGAAAATGTGTTTGGACTTAAAATGGCTGGAAAGTTAGTGAGATTTCCCTTACAAAACTGTTACATTTGAAGTTCTTTCAAGTTGAGAGCTGCAGAGCTGGGTTGTGGGGACGCCACCAGATGATTACTGTGGTTAAAAAATGAGACAATTGGGATCTGAAAGTGTCATTTGTTGTAGCTGAAAAACAACAAGTGGACCTGGGATTAGTGGTGCTTTTTCAGAAGGTGGCTGTCTGCACTCTGTCTTTTACTTGAGCTTTAGTGGCTACTTCTCTTAAAACACACTGCGCGTGTTGGTTATACTGTGGCAATTTGACTGTGTATCCATGATAAGTCAGACAGATTTAGCTGCAAGTGCTTATAGACCACAAATCCTAGGGCTTATTGAAGCACAGCAGCAACCTGGAAAGCATTTCAGCTCTTGTCAGAAACCTAGCAGACTCAAAATCTTGTCAAACTCATAACTTGGTTCCTGTCTTCATATATAGACTCAGTTTCTCTCTCCCATACTTCTTGTTTAGGACACAGATGAGGAAGACCCATACTGATGAAAGACTAAAGCTATGGATAAAGAACAAAATGACAGCACTGAAAATCATGGCTAGTTGAGCACAAAGGCTGCTGGATAAGCAATGCAGATTGAAGGACCTGCCCTTAGCTTGGTAGATTGGAAGAATAATGCTGATGGGATAGTTCACTTTAAGCACAAAGTAATGATTTTTGACATCTTTCTGATTTAGTGGAAAACCAAAACTCCTAAGCTTGTTTCTCCAGTGCCTATGGAAACCTCAGTGCCTACAGCTGTACAGCCTGTTCCCTAGCAGCAGCCTGTCAGTGCAGTTTCTCAGTTTACTTGCAGATTGCTTCCTGTGTTATTGTGACATCCCTCCTTTCCCGTGCCCTTGAATCTGAATTGCCTGAAGCACAGGCTACTCCAGACTGCCATCAGCTCTCTAAGGTGATAATCATTGGACACTAACAACACTTTCTTCTCCATGTTTTGGGAGGTATTTGCTAAGGACTGAAACAGTTCAAGTTGGTACCTGGCATCCTTTGTCTTGGAGCAAGAGAACCTGCTGCTTTTTAACTATATCTTGGTTTAATCTGCCACTTAATTACAGGATCACCATTTTGTTCCTGCTGTTTTCTGATTCTATTTTTAAGTCACCAACTGCACAGTGATGTTACCTTTATATTGTTGAGTTTTACCTTTCCTTTTTATTTGTTCACCATTTGTCCACAGCTGCATTAGTAGGTACATATCCTACTTGTAGAAATGAAGCGCAATTCATATAAACCAATTTTTTAAAATCAGAGATGCAAATGGGGACTCTGTATCTGGGGAAACATAACCCCATCTACCTCAACCATTGACTCAAGCAATGTCCAAAGGAACTTCCGTGTTCAGAAGAAGAGACATGTTCCTCCTCTCTTCTTCTAGGTGTCTTTTTAGGGAAACAGCTAAACATGCATCATTACTGCCCTGTAAGAGAGAGTATGTTCTCCTTCAACAACCTTGTCTAGTAGTGGATGGCAGAGAGCAGTGGAATTCATGCCTGCTTAAGCACCTACACAGCTGCTGGTTTCAGCTTCCTTTCTGTATGTGGCATTGGTCAAATAGTCTCCTTTTATGTGTGTGTTTAAGTTTACTGTTGACTTTGTGCCATTACCAATAAATTGCTTTATTTCATTCTGGGCTGTGGCTTGCTTTATTTGGCTAAATACAGTTGAACTCCTAAAACTGCCAACAACTGAGTTGTTGCTTAGCTATAGCAATTGCCATATGATGATGAGTAAGAGGTATTTAGGCAACAGATTTACCCCAAAAAGGAACATGGGCTGAGTCCCCCTTTAGGAGCTCTCTGATGGCTGCCAGTTTTGTATGTTGTAGTTCCTGACTGTGGAGCAGGTTAGCTGTACAGCTGTCTCTCCAGACCAAGAAATAGATTTTTCTTCTGTCTACTATGAACTAATGCATAAAAAGCTGTGTTTTGTGATGACACAGTGTCTCTCCCAACCAAGACTTTCCTGAGAAAGGATGTTGGTGGGATATGCAGCCTAGGGGAAGTGGCTTTGTTGTTCCACTTTCTGCAATGCTCAAGTTCCCTGTGGACATGAATGACTCTTGTTTTCTGTGAAATGTTTGCTTTCAATTGCACTCCTTTGCAAACATGGGCTAGATCCTGGGCAAATCTTCCTGGTGCAAAGCTAAACTGCCATCTTGAAGCTAATGAGACTTTCTCTTCCTCTGCTAGCTGTATAGAAGTTGCCCTGTGTGCCATTTAAACCCACTGATGATCACTGATGGAGAACAGTGATTGCTGTGGTACTCCAGAGGAAGAGGAAGGATGGAAATACACTTTCAAAGTGACTGGGGTGTGCGCGTGCAGTGGACTGAAAGCAGTCCATGCTGTGTACTGGGGTTTAATCCCAGCTGGCAGCTAAGTACCATGTGGCCATTCTCTCATTCCCCTCAATCGGATGGGGAGGAGAATTGAGGAGAAAAAAAAGGTACGACTGTGGGTTGAGGTAAGAACTCCATCCCTGCTAAAACCAGGGCTGTGTTTTATGTGGTTCAAAAGGGAGCAGCTCTCTATGCTGTGAAAAGCATGTTGAAAGTAGCTCTTTTGCCCAGAAGATGCCTGCTGACCTGTGGCCCCTGGCAGCACCAGTGCTGAAGCTCAGCAAAGTCACCCAGTGTTGCCTGGTGCTGATGCCCCATCGGGACAAGAGCCAGTTGCAGGGATGGAGGTTCTTTAACCAGCTGTGAGCCCCAAAAACGAACTATGGGTGAGCGCAGGCTGCAAAAGGGTTGCTTGCCAAGATTCTCTCTGTTCTTGTCTTCTCATGTAATGACTGATCAGATCAGTTTGCTGCAATGCAAGGTGTGGGACTGAGCCATGTCTTGTACCTGCGAGGTGTCTTCTCCTTACAAAGCTGTGTACCCATCGCCGGCTCTCAGGCATACACATCTATAATCCTCCTTGCCTGTCCTAACAGTTTCTTTTGCATGTTGGTTTGTCAGTACCTCCATCTAGCTCGTAACTTCCTCTTGCAAGTTGAAAGTGACCACCAAACTGAACCTGAAATAACAGACTCGGAAACAAGAACTGGCAAGTAAGACAAGTATCTTGCACGTACAACTTCAAAGACGATTCAGCAACTGATCTTTTCAGATACTCCAAATTAGTCACTGAAGATTGATTTGTGCAAGGGAAACTGACTACCCCAAACCACTCCAGGTGAGTGCTTTTTGCCATTGTATTTGTTAGTTGGTCATTTTGCCTGACAAGAGAACTAGGGAAGCATAGAAGTGCTGAGGATTCAGGTAGCCTGTGCAAAAGTAGGAAACTCTGAAGGCAGTATGGTTTCCCTGTACTTTTTTCCCCCAGTCTATTTAGTAGCAGCTATCCTGGGGAAGGATTTGGAGATGTCAGCACTGTGATTTATGTAACAGCCTGGGTGAGTGGGTGCTGCCTTCAGCTGGTGCACGCACAGTACCCACTTGCTGTGCGTGTCACAGAGGGAGACCCTGTACAAATGTGTTCCCAGATAGGACTGGAATTTATTCTTAGAAATAGGGTAATAAATCCAGGAAGGATTTGATGGAAGGATAGGCCAGAGCCTCAGTGCCTCAGCTACAGAGAACTTGTGAAGTTCTGCATGTAGATATCCCAGTATGCAGCCTGCTGTGTGCTGAGGACTCCTTTTTTAAGCTAGCTCCTATTTTGGGGTATGCGTGGGGGTGATCCTGGGCAAGTGTAGCTCTGCTTGAGTTCTATGACTTTTGGCAGCATAGCTGGGAAGTAGGATGCTTTGGCCTGGTGCATTGAGAGCTGCTGCACCCGCTGAGAGCTTTGGAGCTGAGCATGAGTTTTGCTGTGTTTGTAGGTCGCATGTACACAAGCAGAGTGTTGTGGCAGAGTTGCAGACACCACACTCAGACTGCACCGCTCTCCCCTCCAGCTCCAAAAAAACAACCCCCAACAAGGTCGTGTTCTTTGCAAATCAGATTGGAGGGAACTCCAGAAGGCTTTCAGCCACTTTCTGGGATTATGTTTATGGAAAGAGGAGAGTGACAGAGGGCAGAGGTGGTTTTACATCACTGACTGCAGGCAGGAACACCATGCACTGACTGGAAAGCTGGTAGTGACTGTTTCTCAGACTAGAACACACTGTGGGTCACCCAGCAGCTAATTCTGGGTCTGTAATCTCTGTTTGAACCCATCTCAGGGTGTTTCTGAGCTCCCTTTGCTGAGAAAGTGCATTTGGAAAGAAGAAAGAATTGGTAAATGTGTCCAGCCATGTAAAAACATGGAAGCTTTTTTAGGGGCCAAGTCTTTCCCACTTGGGCTCTGCAGAGCTGCAGAAGCTGTTCCTGCTGCTCCACATGTATGCATGGAGCTGGCACATCCTCTCTCATCCCCCCTCACTTTTGAATGGGCATAGCTTTGAGTCATGGAGCAGAGACACAGCAAGCAGGGTACTGACTTTTGCCTTCCTGTGATCCACGTGTGAACACTGGCTGGCACATTCCTGACAATGACAGCCAGTCCTTCCTCGGGCTGCAGGAGATGTCTACAACGTGTAGAAAGATGATGTTGGCTTTGTTTTGAGAGATGTGCCGCAGCTCAAAGTGAATACAGTGTCCAAATGTGGCACTGTCTGAACACTTCTCACCATATGTAGCATGCAGTAAGGGATCTGTGCTGTTAGGGCCGAACTTCTTGAGTACGTAGTAGAAAAATCTCCCCGTTGCTTTCTGAGCAGGTTTAAGGTTTATGAACATCTCAGTTCATGTGCTAGAGACTAGACCCCCAAACCACCAGAAAGATTCATTGCTTGGGGGAAACACAGAAGGGTTTCAGGCTGTGCCCTCCCCGCCGCTTGCGCTCTTCCTTCCTAGAGCTCAGTCTCAAACCAGAGGTATCTGTACTTCCAGGCAGCAAAGACAGTGTTTCTCTCTGAAGAACTGAAGGAAGTCTTTTTCTGACCTTGGTGTCCAGTTTGGTTGCACGTTGTTGGTGTCCTGCCCCAGGGGAGACTGATGCATGTGTCACCTCTGCTGTTCCTTTTAGAAGAAGATGAAGGTGTTGCTGAGCCTGACTCTGGTGCTGACATGGCTGGGTAAGCTGTAAGTCATTCTGGTGCTTTTATTGACCTTCTGCCTTTGCTTAAAAGACCCACTGGTTCCTCTGTTCTTGTGGTGAGAACCTCTTGGGCTCCTGGGTACCAATGAGTCTGGGTGCTGCATATTCCCTTCTGCAGAGCTCACGTATGTATAGGCTACAAATTGCAGTGGTATCCCTGGATGGAGTCCTGTGCTTATTCTGCCAAGCTCCAAGGCTTTGAAAGAAGTAGAACTGCTTTGCCAAGTCTAAATACAGGGAAAGCTTTCCAAGGTATTGATTTGGGCTTTGCCTGTGGCAACTGGCTCCCTTGGTCTTCTCCCCTGGCAAATATTTGTCATTTTCAGCTTCACAGCTGGTCAAGACCAAAAGAAACCTGTTTGGGAAGCTGTAGCACTTTGCATTTATTATTCACAGGG